GCCGCCGCCATCCTGCCCGCCGCTGTCCGCGGGTGGGGGGAACGATAAAGCTTTGTTGAAAAAAATAATAATCCGGCAACAAGGGGCGGCGGTGTCACTTCCGGATACAATAAAGTTTTGTTGAAAAAGCCCTTTCATTAAACCGGGGGGGCGGGGGGAGTCCCTGCTTGAAACAATAAAGTTTTTGTTGGGAAAAAAAGTCTCACAACAAGGCAGGGGCTGTCACTCCCGGGAACCATAAAGTTTTGTTGAAGCCACTCCTCTCTTTCCCCCCGGCAACAAGGGGCGGCGGTGTCACTTCCGGATACAATAAAGTTTTGTTGAAAAAGCCCTTTCATTAAACCGGGGGGGCGGGGGGAGTCCCTGCTTGAAACAATAAAGTTTTTGTTGGGAAAAAAAGTCTCACAACAAGGCAGGGGCTGTCACTCCCGGGAACCATAAAGTTTTGTTGAAGCCACTCCTCTCTTTCCCCCCTCCCTTTGTGGTAGAGTTCCCAGTGGGCACAATAAAGTTTTGTTGATACGAAGTGAAGCCATTCGTCTCAATGGAGCAATAAAGTTTTGTTGAGAGCACCCTTCCACCAGGCGCAGGCGCAGAAAGGAGGCGGGTCTTTGGGAAGCCGGTAGCTGTCCTTAGACCGACTTCAGTAGCTGGGGAACAATTTGTAAGCAAGTTTTCGGGGTCAAACACTCTTGGTCTCAGCAGTCAGGTCAGTATCATTCAGGATACCGAGCATCGTGTCTAAGTAGGAGGTGCTGGTGCTGGAGTGCTCCGGAGGGAGGGACGGCGATGGTTGAATTTCTGATGGAGCTGAATCCGAGATTGCAGGTTTTCAGTCCACGTGATGAAGATGTCATCGCTATACGTTACGTACAGCAAGGGTTTGATGGTGCAGTCCTTGAGGAAGTCTTCTTCCCGGTGGCTCATAAACAGGTTGGCGTACCTGGGGGCGTTCTGGTGCCCGGGGTCTGGGGGAAGTGTCGGTTGTTAAAAGTGAAATAGTTGTGTGTGAGGATGAAGTGTACAAGGTCAGTGATATCTTTGGGTCCGTACTCTGAGTGGTAACGTTGTTCCTGTAGACGCGCAAGGCAGGCTTGGATGCCGTCCTGGCGTGGGACGTTGGGGTATAGGCTGGTAATGTCCACGGTGGCTCGAGGGTGTTGCTGGGAAGGGGCTCTATGTTATTAAGTTTCCATAAAAAGTCTGTAGTGTCCTGGACAAAACTTGCTCTGTGGGTGACCAGCCGTTTTAGGATTGGTAGACATACTTCCCTTCTCTGACGGCAGGCAGCATGCTTTAGGGATCAATAAAGTTTTGTTGATACGGAGGAAAACTATATTGGCCTCCATGGAACAATAAAGTTTTGTCAATATGGGAAGAGGGGTGAAGAAAGACCCCCGTCAAGGGCCAGTAGCCTCATTGGAACAATAAAGTGTTATTGAAATGGCCCCCGCCATGGTAAAGAGAACCTCCCTCCCCATGTGCCTAAAGCCATAACAATAAAGTTATTAAAGTAAGAAAGTTTTGTTGCAGTCATTCCTGCCCCGTGGCAGTGCGCCTGTCTCCTGCAACGATAAGTTTTGTTGATATAAAATAGGCGGGGCAGGACCAGGAGGCGGAGGGCTGTAACCATGACAACAAAGCAACTTTTTTAGGGGGGGGGGGGGGGGGGGGGGGCTGGGGGGGGGGGGGGAGATGGGGAAAGGCAGGGCAGCCATGGGGGCTTCTCCTGCAACTCCCCTCACCAGGGCAGAAGCAGGCACAGCTGGAGGAGTCGCAGGAGGAAGGGGGGGGGGGCTGGGGCACCTTCCTACGGCCTGGGTAACATCATGAAGGCTGGGTGACATTATAGGCTTCCCCCCCCATTATATCAGTCTCGAGTGTATGATGTCATCCGCTAGTGTGTATGATGTCATCAGGCAGCTACTGGGTAACCTATGACATCACTATACAGGTTGCCGTGTGGACGTAGGGAAGGGCCAGGAGCCCGGACGCCTGGGTTCTCTCCCCATTCAGGGAGGAGGGTGGGGTTGGGGGGTAGATGCCTGGACACCGGGGTCTCCGGCAGGTCTGGGGGGCGGTTCTGGGGTGCTGAGGCCCCTGTGACCTCGGTGCCTGACCCCAGGCCTTGGGCCCGGTGGCGCCATGAGCTGGCGCCTCCCCTTCGCGACCTGCAAGCTCCCCACCAACGTGACCCTCACCATGGCCTCCGTCCTGCTGCTCTCCGTCCACAGCGGCATCTTCGTCTCCGACCTCTACCACTTCGCCATCAGCCAGCGCTTCGACCTCATGAGCTTCCCCAGCACCACCGTGCTGCTGGTACGGGGCCCCCAGAGCCCGGGCGGGTTTGACCCGGGGCAGGTGCAGCCCCCAGTAAGAACCAGGCCCTAAAATGGTTTGAACTGGGATAGCAGCAGCCACCCAGTATGAAACAGACCTCAGACTGGTTTCAACTGGACTGGGAGGAGTTCTGTAGGAGCCAGAGCCCACACTGGTTTGAACTGGGATGGAAGTGGCCCTGCAGTAGAAGCCAGACCTCAGACTGGTTTGAACACAGGCAGGAACAGCCTCCCAGTATGCAACAGACCCCCAGACTGGTTTCAACTGGGCTGGGAGGAGTCTCCCAGTAGGAGTTGGACCCTAGACTGGTTTGAACTGGGGTGGGAGGAGCTTTCCAGGGGAACCAGACCTCAGGCTGGCTTGACCTGGAAGAGCAGCAACTTCCCAGTAAAAACCAGAGCCCAGGCTGATTTGAACTGGGTCAGAAACAGATGGCAGCAGGGGGTAACCAGGTGCCGGGCTGCCTGGCTTCCATCCCCAGCTCTGGGAAGGGAGTGGGGCTGGTGGGGTCAGAGCAGGGGGCACGGGGAGCCCAGACGCCTGGCTTCTCTCCCCATTCTGGCCACGAGGGGCCCTGACCCGTCCCATCCCCCCCGTCCCTGCCCAGTTCTCCCAGGTGCTGAGCTTCTACTTGGCGCTGCTGGGGGCGCTCTACAGCATGGGGGCCAAGGACAACGTCCTCAAGACCTTTGCCCTCACCTCGCTGGGTAGGTGACCCCCAGACGCCTGGGTCCCTCTCCCGCTCTGGGAGGGAAGTGGGGGCTGGTTGGAACAAGGCGGGGGGGGGTTGGGAGCCCGGATGCCTGGGTTCCTTTTGCCACTCAGGGAGGAGTGGGGGTTAGAGCAGGGGGGCTGGGAGCCCGGACACCTGGGTTCCCTCCTAGTAAGAGATCCCCTTCTCTCCCCTCCCCCCTCCCCAGTGACCAACTTTGCTGCCTTCTTCGGCCGCTTCTGCCTCGAGTACCTGACCCTCGAGTACCGGCAGGAGGTTTACTGAGCCCGGAGCCCCCAGAGAGCGCACGGCCCCTGCCTTAGCCAACAGAAGTTTATTACGAACAAGGCAGATAGTGCTGTAGTGTCAGACACTGCATGACATCACCGCTACAGCGTGACATCACTGCTACAGCATGACATCACCACCACCCCCTCCCAAACGGGGGGTGGGGGGGGCTGCAGTTATAGCCACTCCCCCTGAAAGCTCTGGAAACCCCAGGACCGGAGCAGTGGCTGCATCTCCGCTCCAAGTCCATGGCGATGACAGGGTCCTTTCCTGGCTCCATGGGGGCCCCAGCCCCAGGAGACCAGGCACAGGGAAGAATCAGAGGGCTGGGACCCCAAAATGTCCGCAGGGGGTAGTACAGCTGGTGGGGTGGGGTGGGGGCGGGCCAGCTGGGCCCCCACAACCGTTCCAATAAATATCCCAAAACAGCAGCAGCTGAGAGCCTGGACACCTGCGTTCCCCCCGCTTCCAGGGGAGTGGGTTGCTGGCAGGGGGGGCTGGGAGCCCTGACGCCTGGGTCCCTCCCCCTCTAGCCAGGAAACCTCTCTGTCCCCCATCTCCCCCCAGCACACGCGCACAGCCCAGCCCCTCCACCTGCACCACCCAGGGGGCACTTGGAATGATTCTACTCCTTCAGCCTCTACTCAGGGGCTCAGCTATGCAGCTGGTGGGTTCCCAGGGGGACCTAGGGACCCCTGCGGCCCCGGGCTGGGGGGGGATCTGCACTGCCAGGCTCCCCCCAGCCGCAGCCCCGCTCACTCCTGGCCCACGCGGATGTGTGGGTTGAGTAAAGGGTCCAGGTTGGGGTCAGCATCGGCCGCGGCTCGGCCCAGCTTGGCCATGATGACAAGGAGGGTGAGGAAGCCGAGGCCCCCGACCAACAGCACGATGACGAAGCGCCGCAGCAGGGAGCGTGGGGGTGGCTTCTTGTTGCCCGCCCGGTTCCTGCCGGGGCAGAGAAGGAGAGCAAGGGACCCAGTGAGGAGTGCGCCCCGGTGGGCACCCAGTCCCCATGCGCCCCGTCTGCCTGACACTATCCAGAACCCCGGAGGATGAAATGACACAACCCAGGTGTTCGGGATGCAGGCACCCACACACACACAGAACCCAGGCATCCAGGACCCCCCCCTTGTCTGGTCCCACCCCACCATGCTCCAGGGCCCAGCTGAGATGCCCCTGCCCTAGCCCCACAGACACCCCCACCCCAGCACTGTGCCTACCCACCCCTGGCTCCACTCACCCACCCGCAAACCTAGGGGTGCCAGGTGCCCCCTCCTCGCTCACTTGAGGAGTCGGGCGAACCAGCCGAGCGCCGGCCGCCGGCGGTACTTGTCGTCATCAAAGTCGATGTGGGTGCCGGGCCCACGGCCACCGCCGCCCTCCCGTGTGTCATAGACCTTCCGTGGCGTGGAGGCTGCCGGGGAGACGGGGCATTAGGCGGAAAGCCCCTAACCCCCCCAAACCCTCCCCACCATGCAGTTCGCGGCAACCCAAAATTCTGTGTGTTCCTGCCAACCCAGGACACCAAGACAATCATAGAGTTCTGGTCCTCCACATGCTGGTAGAAGGGCCTCATAGGCTATCCCAAGAGGGACATGTTAGCCAGCGCATCCCTACCTCATGCAAATTGGTTCCCATGTAACTATGGTTCCCCCCCAGCTCTGCTCACCTGCTGTGAGGGTGATGGTCTCGCTGCCATCGCCCCCCATGTGGACGACGGTGTGGTCCCCTGTCGTTGCTGCTGCACTGTCCAGCCCCTGCGGCTGTGAGGAGGAGGAGGAAGAGGAGAGCCCGGGTGTAGAGCTGTAGGAATAGGCCGGGCGGGCACTGTGTGGGGTGGTGTCCAGGCTGGAGCTGCCAGGCGCTGTCAAGGGGGAAGAACATGAAGCCAATGGAGGTGTTAGCAAACCCAGCCTCACACTCCCAGAGGCAGGCGCTCACCATCTTTCCCCACCCCCACCAGTCCCAGCACCACGGAGAGGGACTCCTGGTGGGTTCTACAGCCCACGGCAACCTGGCCTGGAGCAGCTGGACTCCCATGACAGGGGTAGGTCTGGGAGAGAGGTAGCCTGAAGTCTCTCTTGGTGTGGGTGGAGGGGGGGCATGGGGCACAACTCTGTCATGGCAATAGGACATTGATTGTGGCTGCCCCGTGGGACACAGCTGAGGTGGCGGTACATAGGAAAGGGGAGGAATTTCTTTAAACTGTCCTATCGGATACAGCTGGGGCGGGGGACACAAGGGAAAGGGGGGTCTTGTCAAGCTGCCCTACAGGATATAAGTCAGGAGGGAGCAGCTAGAAAGAGAGGCAACTCCTTAAGCTGCTCTATAGGATACAGGTGGGCTAGGGGCACGAGAGGACCCCTACACATTTCCAAGTGACCCTATGGGATACAGGTGTGTGGGGGGTCCCCTCAACAGCCCCCTTAAGCCACCCTTAACAGCCAGCAGGACCTCTCACTGCCGGGGGAGCCTGGGTGGGCCTCTCAACTGAGGGCTGGAGGAACATCCCAGTAGGGCAGGACTCACCAGAGAAGCTGCCCCAGTCTGTGTAGTCTGTGATGTCGGCTGGCTCCGGCTCCTGCACGGTCTCGGCTTCGTCAATCTGCAGGAGATGGGAGACAAGGCTGGGGCTCGGGCTTGGGGCTGGCACACAGTGCGCCTTCCCCCCCCCCATGCCACTAGCCCTCTCTTTCCATAAGCAGAAAAGACTTCCGGCAATCCCTCTTACCAGTGGCAGCCCCAGTCCCGCCCGTGCCCAGTTGACCGTGGCCAGCTTGTCCCGCAGAGCTGAGGCCACCGGGCTGACCAGGTTGGCAGGCGGGAAGATGGGACCCTTGCAGCTGGGGCACTGGTAGCCGGCGGGGGCCGTGTTCTTGGGCAGCTGCCCGGCCATCTCGTTGAGGCAGGCCCAGTGGAAGAGATCTGCGGAGGAGAAGGCGATGCAGCATCTGAGCAAAGAGCGGAGAGGAAGGCACGAGAGAGCCCTTGGCCTCCCCTCTGGGCGCGGGTCTCACCGTAGCACACGAGCCGGGCTGTGTCTTTGGTGGCCAGGAGGGTGTTGCAGAGCCGGCAGTTGGGGTTGTAGTCGCTGTCCTGGAGCCACTGGAGGTATGACTGGACGATGCACTGCGGGGGCAGGGAGGGAGGGAGGGAGGGCGGGAGGGAAGGCTGCAGCTGGGGCTCTGGAAAGACTGCCGGGAAGGGGAGTGACAAGGCTCGCCCTCCTCCCCCGCGCTAACTCCCCGGCAGCGGGGGCTTTTCTCTGCTCGGGCCTATTAGGCACCTGGAGGGAACCCAGGTGTCCAGGCTCCCACACGCCCCGTCCGACCCCCGCCCCCCCGAGCTGCAGAGGGCTCGGGGATGAACCAGCCCCGCTCCGCTCC